CCATAAGATTGATTTAATCAATTATTTGAGGTTTCTGAGGTGCGTCCACCCCGTCACTTAACTTGCTAAAGCAAGAGCAACTCCAGCTAGCTAAGGCTAGCTTTCGTGACTTCCTACAGCCCATGTTCGCCCACACCTCACTGCAGTGGAACTCGCCAAGGTCCATCCCCTCAGCGACAAAAAGTGGATTTGCCACAACTTGCAGCCGCCCACCCTAGCGTGAAACCGGTGCTCAAGATGAGGAACTAATTGCAGACTGCGATCTCAGACAAAGACGACCAATGGCGTCACTTCACCAGGTCGGCTTGGTTGTCTGAGGACCTCCACAAAAAACAACAATTGTTGCTTGGAAGAATCACGAAGAATGTCCAAACACGATGTTCGAATCAACTTGGATATCGATCTCCAAAGAGCTGTTTATATACTGTAATGATTGGAGGAGCTAGTTTCCAAATCTATGTCCGGTGTTTCTCTCAGGCTTCCTCCCTTTCTCATCTTTTCTCTGCATTTGGGCGATTTTGAGCGATTAGGTCAGCAAGTTTGGCGCAAAGCTGAGAGCCACTGCCGATTAAACAGTATTGCACAATATTGAAGATTGAAAAGGCCTCCAGCAGTTGCTGCATCACTCTACGGGCCAGGGAGGCCTCGACAACAAAGCGGGTCCCGTCGTCTGTCGCTCTGCTGTCTTCCATCCCAAAAGAACACCAGTTCCAAGCTCTCGACCACTTTTTACAGGGATCAAATATGAGTTTTGACATTTTTTACACCATATTCGGTCCATTTCCTTTGATGTTCCTTTGCAGATTGACATCTTGATCAATGTTGATCAGTTTCTCAAGTGGATTTATCTTTGGTCTCCGCCTGGCCACGGCACAAAAGCCAGATGAGAGTGTCTGGATGATATGCCTCGGTGAGTTTTCATGTAAGAAAAACATTCTGCATCGGTGATATGTCCTGGCAAAGAGTCCAAGGAGCAAACCGGGCACGGCACAGTAGCTTGCAGGCATCCTGGTACAGTCCATGCAGCGGGATCAGACGATCTCTGGGCTATTCCAAACTATTTCTCTGTTTAAAGATGCTAGCATCAACGTCACTTTGTTGTGGCACTTCATATTTGCAAATATGAACAAGAGGACATCAGAATTTGACCAGTCGCCCCAAAGAATTGAATAGACATGAGTTTCTACAGTGAAGAAAATGATGTAGTGCATCCACTTTTGCTTAGATGGCTTAGTTGCAATCAATTGCACCTTGCGCAGCTTGCGGTAACGAAGCCAGCATCAAAGCAGGCCTTGCCATTCACGTGGCATCAAATGTTGACACAGTGCACCGTTTTGAGGTTGGCCGAAGCCTTGAGGCGTGACCACCCTGCCTGCGGCTTCCCTCAGGGTGCCCAACCTGGCCCATGGGAAGACCAAGATGTGCAAACTTTGCTCAAAAGAGCAAAAGAAAACGCGTCAGAAAGCTGCGATAATTTGAGTAAGTGTCATGTCAGGTCTCTCTCTCTCTCTCTCTGACCCAAAATCAAGGAATCAAGGCTGAAGTCACGTGGAGGACAGCCCCAGCATCTGGACACCAAGTCTGTGCTTGCGGTTCAAACGGCAGTGCCTGACAAAACGAGGTTGTAACGAGACATCCGACCAAATTAGAAAGCAGGTCATCCGAAGAGATTCTACTGCCTCTGGATGCAAGTCGATGGCGTGCCATGTGTAGCCCGTCGTGCCATATTGGCCTAGAGAGCAAGTGGCCAGAAGCTG